TCTGCGGACCCCCCGCCGATACCGGCGATTCCCACCGCATAAAAAGCAGCACCTGCAGCTTTTGTTGTGCAGTGCACGTAGAGCGGTATGTTCTTGCGAGCATGTGGCATTGTTGGCTCTTCAGGCATCCTCGACCAGAGACCGCCGCCAAGCTCATGATTGCATTTGCCGTAAGAGACTCAGGATCTCCAAATACTCTTCAGGAACGCTTCAGTAGGAGCCTGCATCATTTTCAACTTGAATCAGAAATGGAAAGCTGGCAGTCGGTGCTAGCCTGGACTGGAAAAGTCTGTGTGCATGTGTGCTGGCAATAGCATCTGCAGCAGTGCATTTGATTTGGAAGTTTGGTCCACACAACACGCAGCATTTCAGACACTCAAAGACAAGAAGTGGCTAGGTGCCGCAAGGCTTGGGCGTGCAGGTGGAGGAAAATAGTCAAGCACAGGCAGAGAGACAGGCTGACATGCAGCAAAGCAGAGTGGATGAAGATTGCTCCGAACAGCTGGCTTGTGCACCGCTGTCGTGGTGCCAAAAAATGTGCAGTGGTCTCATGGTGTTCCTGACTGCCTACGTGCAGGATAGAGATTCCAGATGCCATGCTGTTTCAAACCAACAAGCACATTCCTCATGTAAGAAAGACATAATCCGCAAGCTGAGGATGTTCGCTGCCATCAAGCAGCAGGCATCACACGGAGGATGGGCAGGCAGCGCCAGTGTCAAGCCAGTGTCACGACAGTGTCTGTCAAACGTGCCGTTATCGCTTTGTGTTGTTCTCGCAAGTCTTGTCGTGCCACTTCCATAGTAGTTACTATACCATCCTGATTAGGCTTGCTTTCCATGTGTACATTAGGTAGCACAGGAGCACATGATGTGGTGGCTCCAGCAGAAAGCATCTGCTGTTCATGGCAATCATTGTTCGATCACTCGCACTACTGCTGCTGCTGCTGCTGCTGCTGCTGCAATAACTACGGCATTCGCAGTATTGTGATAGATTGCTGCTTGGCAATCATGGGTACAGTTCGAATTGCAGCTGCAGCTGCATCAACTCCTGAAACGTCACAAAATTTTACGCCTCAAGCTAAATCCTTTGAACCTTCCAGCTGTAGAGCTAGCCATCGCCAGCTCAAATGACCATAGCATCAATTCGCCAAAGACACCCTGAACAAGAAGGCTGTCTTTAGACCCTGTTGCCCTTCAAGGACCCCCAAGAAAACCGAAATTGCCCAAAACCTGAAACTCCTCAAACCTCAACACCTAAATCCCAAGAAGTCCCCCAAAGCCTTGAATACCCTGAGACTACCCTGAGCTTAGAACAGCCTCTAACCCTCCAACCGCTCAACATCTACCACACCTTAGATACACCCTTCAAGGCCTGAACTGAGGGCTGAGATCGTAGTGAGACAAGACACAAAAGGTATAAGAGACAGGCGGCATGGTTTGTCTTGACCCTTGAACATCCAGACTGCCCTATGCAGCCTGCAGGAAGTGCCTCCTCCCAGCGCTGATCGCTCAGAAAAAGCTGTTATGCTACATTCTGCTCCGTGCAGGCTTGACTAGGCTGTCCCTGCACCTGAGGCTGGTGGCCGGGTCGACACTTCCTTTACGATCCGTGGCTCAGGCGCTGGCAAATCTTCAGGTGCGCGACGAGGACTTGATGCAGGCGCCGCTGCAGTTTCGATTTGGAGTCGCCCATGATGTTTCCCGCGTAGGCGCTGACTATGGCACAGAGACCAGCGTCTCTGCGTGGGCGGATGCGCTAGCGTCCGTGTCCGCAAGGTTTCACTTTCACCGCCATAGGCGTCCCCAGAGAACGTAGAGCAAAACTTTATACTTGAAAAGCTTCTCGTTGCGCTTGCTCATGCTTTGAGCTTGGACTTGCTCACGCCAGCCTAAAGTACTTGCCGGTCTTGCCAACAAAGATCATGTGCCAACGCTGCGCAGGCGCCGTTGGCAGACTCCTTCCATACAGTGCGTTATGCAGGCCGAGACTGCGTCATGTTTGACAAGCAAATTGGCTGGCAAACTGTACATGATGTCATGCCAACATGTTCATGCCGGAGGTCTTGGTGGCCATGCCCCGCGACTGCATCCATGGAAGATACGGATGTGTCATGTGTCCATTGATGCTGACTTGGGTTGCTGCTGAGGATGCGTCGGGACACTCTTTCGGAAGCGTCGCCTCTCGCCCGACGGCGAAGCGGGAGGAGACTGCTGAGTTGTTCTGTGTCGTTCCAATCGCCTCGGACTCAAGCGTAGGATGGCTTTCTGCACAAGGCGGAAAGCAGAGAGGCGAGCCACATGAAAGTGCCCTTGGCAACCCCTCATTTGCTGTCTGGTGACAGGTTCAGCCCATGGATAGTAGTCATGCCTGCTATGTATTCTGTTGGTTTTCTTACTCTCCGCGACTTGTATCCACATCGGTTTCTGTGGCCAGGTGCCTGGTCGAGCCGTGCCGCTGCAGCCTGCTCTGCAGTGGAGGCGCAGCTGATTCAGGTGCTCAGGTGCCGTAATTCGATGCTTGTCAGGCGAGGCATGCTGGAGTGTTGCAAGTCCTAGCGGGCCGGCTTCGGTCTATGCAGGCCTCGCCATGGACAGGTGCAACACATATATACCCCACGTCAAGTTTAGGAAATTGCTCCAAATGCCGTGCTCAGCCATGAAGCTCACTGCAGCAGTTGCTGCACGTAAAATCACTCTTACTTGGCACTTGGCAGCATGGCCTCCTTTTCTTTTTCATGGCAATTTTCTCATGGCTGCCTGCATCAGCCCCAGTGTTACTGGGAGGGTTGGGTACACGCATGCAAAATGGACCCCAAGCAGAATCATGTTTTTCGTCTCCTTTGTCTTACTGGAGGTGCCAACGCTATCATGCCTTTCTACAGCGCAGTAGCTGCAGGAAAATATTTCAACGATTGCCAAAAAGTCTCTGCCCTCATGGTGCGTTGGCTGACCTGGGACCGGACTGTCAGATTCTTAGATCCCTGACCATGCTCCGCATCAACTGTGGTTATCCAGCCGCCAGCGCTTTTGATCACTGAAGACAAAGGATGAGTTGGGTGGTGCGGGTGCTGGTCCTTGCCACTGTGGGTACTGTGGGAGCCTCAAGCAGATCCAGTAGCCGTCACTAGCCCTCAAGAACTTGCAGTTGGCCGTTTTAACTGTTGTTGAGGCAGACGAGTGGCCAACCTGTGACAACAGGGCGATACTTGGCCTGCAAATGGTTGGGTGCAGGACGCTGCAGGTTACTGCTTGAGACAATTCGTTCCTTGCACTTTGCAGGTTCCGTGATGATGAGATTGAACCTGGCGGCCTGAAGCTGCTGGGGGTCAAGGAGAGCTTACTAGGCAACGGGTGTGAAGGCATGCTAAAATTTCTGCATCAAAAGCCGGCCAGGCTACTACCCTCGTGCAAAAGCTGCAGCCACGCTTGAGCACTTCTTCCAACAGCTGCGGGAGGTCTTGAGCGACGACTGCCCGCCATTTGGCAGAACAGAGTGTCAAAAGCATCAGGCACCCATCGACTTTTAAGGCGTGTCCTCGTGGAAGTGGGCTTGCAGCCAGCGGCTGGCGTTCTACAGCGGCTTACCCAGAAATAGAAAGCGTGAGCCGGAGGCCAGGGTATTCGCTGTGCTTCTTGGCTCTCAGGAACTGGTCCTCCGCTTCGCTGTGGCTGCGTTACTTCAATCATTCCGGTGCAATTCTTGCTGTTGATCCCGTGGAAGACTACCTGCAGCATTGGACAGAGAGTCTGAAGGAGACTGCAGAGCTTGGGGGATCTGCTAGCCATGGATAGAAGGAAGTTTCCACCTCTGAAATCCCTCTAGGAGCCGTGGTCATCGAAGGGCTCCCTGCAGGCGGTGGTCCGTTGCGTTTGCTAAACGCTGAGTGGAGCTTTTGTGCAGGTACAAGCTGTTCGGGCTAATATTGGTGCCAGGAGCAGTGCGGAAGCAGAGGCTGGGCATCCGTAAGCTTTGAAGGCATTCGAAGCTCACGTGCAAGATCTCCCCAGGTATTCTTTGACACGGCAAGCGGTAAAGTTTCCGCTGCACGGCAGGCCTGCCTCAATGAGCTCTAAGAAATTTCACGTGAGCTATAGTCTACACTCCCTAAAGGGGGTTATGTAAGAGATCATTGAAGTGATTATTGCAGGGGATGCTAGGAGTTTAGACTGGCTCATGTATGAGGCCCAATGGGTGTTGACGGTCAAAGAGAAGCCCTGAACCCTACATATCCATTTAAGATTTTATAGATGCCTGTGAGACCCTATTTATCCCCGCGTATTGCCCAATGGATTAAGGTCAAAGAGAAGTGTGGAGCAGAAGGGCCGTCCATGGACAATCCTCTGCATCCATGTGCGCGTGTGCGCAGGCCACCTTGTGCTTGTGTCAGATCTTTGTCTTGCTGGCTCTTTTAGTGGGGCATATGGGAACATATTGCCTAGGGATTATTTTCCCTTATTCCCTACAAAGAACCAGTAAATTGTTTTTTTGTTGAAGCTTCTGGCCTTCCCAGGCGTGGGTCCGGTTTGGCTATTACGGCCCCCACCAGGACCCTTGACGACATCTGGAAGGACAATCTCCGTGTCTCGGCTGAGTCATGAACCTGGACAGCTTTGGCAGAGCTGTTCGCGTTCGAATGCTGCAAGAGCCCTGCAAACTAATCTTTTTTTTCTTTCACACGAGCTGCTTGAAGTGATGGCAGCTGAGGCAGAAGACACATCGATTTCCTGCATGTTAATGCCGGCATTGCAGCCTTGGCCGACGTGTTCTTCGCTGGCACTGTCAGACTCCTTTGATTTCTCTGTGCTGTTTCAGACCGGTGGTCTAGAACATGTTTTGAAGGAAACTTGGTGAGGGCTTTTGCTTAGCGTGGCCCGCCGTGAAAGGTCAGTAGCGTCTAGCCCCGTCTTGCCAGTCATTCTGGCAAGAGCTTTGTTCGCTTCGCTTGTTTGAGGTTGCTTGCTTGCTGATTGAATTTACCAGGACTCTTTTCAAGCCTAGTTCAAGCTGTCATCAGCCACATTTGGATTTTTGTGCACCGCGGGTGTCCAAGCAATCACCTGCGTGCTCTCATTCTATTGCTCCCTCTCCGCAAGTGCGCTGAAGGCATGTGCTTCGTCTCAAAGATATCAATACCATCAATACTAGTTGCAAAACAAGTGTATTTACAGTAAGTGTTTCTCCCATGAGCGTAAATCGCAAGCTAGCTGCTAGTGAAATAAACTTGCTCCTAATTTTTGCGATGTTGATTTGAATTTTGCTTGATGCTTTGCAATTTTGTTCTGATGCTTTCTGGGTTTGAATGCTAGATGTGCGTGGGCTTTGAACTGTGCCAACAAGTCATATTTGGATCTGCTTCAAAACGCTTTTGGCTAGTTACCCGAAGGGGAGCGCAGGGAAACCTGCTCGCTTCAGTTATTTTTTGGTATCGCTGAGCCGTCGCGTTCTCAAACTCCTAAGGCGCGCAGCCCCAACAACCCTAGACCCAAATCCTCGACGGCAATCGCCCCGAGCCACAGCGGCCAAAACTGTTCGAAATCTAAAGCCTATCCCGCAGAACCCTAGACTTGCTCAAAACCTCAAAGCACTGAGCCCAACCGCAAAAGCTGATGACCTACCCTGAAAAGTCCAGCCTGAATTGCAAAACCTAACCCAGAACCCCAACCCTGACACCACCATTCCTAAACGCAAACCATTGGAAAATTTGAAAAGCAAACCCAACAAAACTGGAAACCTGAACTCTACAAATGTCGAAGCCTGGAACCGCAACGATCAACATCCCAAACCCCAACCCTCACAACACCAAAACCCTGAAGCCCCGACCTTTTAAATTCCAATTCAGAGCCCAAAAGGTCTTGTTTAGTTCTTGATCCTGGCAAACCTTTCACCTTCATTCTGAAGCTACTAATCCAAAAAACCTGACCCTTTAACCAAACCACAAGGCCCTGAACCCTAAGCCCGAAATAGTAGTTTCCATTCTATTTTCCATTATCCCATATATTACAATATACTATAAGATATTATAATGTACTATAAGATGTTACAATATATTATACTGTAACTGTATAACTAGGGCCTTGCAGGAGACTTTAGGGTTTAGGGGTACCTCCCAACCCCGCTAAAACCGAAACTTTCGGCCTTGTCCCTACAATCCCTACCAACCATGTAAAGCCCTAAGCCTAAAAATCTAAACCCCGAAACCCTAAACATCAAGACCTGACATCCGAACCATAAAATCCTAAACCCTACCACCCACAAAGTTCCCTGAGCACAAACCCCCCGAGCAGATCTCCGACAGCCGAACCCAACTGTAGAACACAGTGTCAATAACTTGACTGTAAAAGGACTTGGGGCTTAGGAGTGTCCCGGAATTGGTGGTCACAGGTAATGGAAAAAGTTTCCAGGGAAGCCATTGTGGCAATTGGCTGTTGGTGCATGTGAGCAGCGACAATCTGGTGAATCTGGTGCTAGCACTTGTGGAAATTCTGAACTTCACATTGTCCTAAATAGTGTGAAAGATCGTCGGCCAACAGTGTCGTCCCGAAACCATCAACAGCCTTGAGCACCCTTTTACACCACGCTTCGGGTCTATTGGGCAACATAGAACGCATGCCAAGCAGCCAGCACACTATGTTTGTATTGTCGTCATTTTTTTGCCGCTAGGCAACTGTTGTAAAACGAGTTGCAGACTTTGGTGGCTTTCTGTTGGTCGACAGATAGTCTTTGTTTCATAAATTGTGTGTTGTTGGGCCGTGCGTCTGTTATTTGCAAAGCACTTTTTTTTGGATGCCGTCAGCGCGCCATGCACACGGCCCCAGTGTTTTTTCATGTCATTGAAGAGGCCGTCAAGAGATCGCTCTTTTGTAGTATTTCAATTCGAAACTTCATATTCTCAAGACTTAAAGGGCATGCACCTTAAAAGTGGGCATACCATACTCTCATGAAATAAAGTAGTGTTTGACACCACAAAAGTTGAGGATCAGCACTAGCACTAGCGTCCCGGCTTCCAACACTTTCTTGTCAGAAAAATGGCCTTTAAGGGCATGATCTTATGTCATGTAATAGTTTCCAACATCATTTCGTTCATAAATGCTGTGGAGCTAAGATGCTGTTGTACATGAAGACTCCAGTGATTTGAGAGCGTCGCATTCGAGCATTCAGGGGCTATAAACAAGTGGTTCGTGCTTGACAGTGCTGGTCTGGAGAAGCCAGGGTTTGGGTGTAAGGTGCGTCGCATGGAATTGTAGCCAGCACCTCACTGCGATGGATGCTCTTGACACCGAGTGTGTCAAGGCTTGGGTATGGTGCTGACATGGAAGCTATCCTGTGGTTGAGAGCATAAATGCTCTAGGGATGGATTACAGTAATTCGAAGATGGATATGGGTAAGCCAAGTGGAACACGATGAAATGCACAACCTCCCAATGTTTGTTTCTGCCCAGCAAGTTGCGAGCCTAAACCCTACGGCCCCACCCTATTCAAACTTGAGCCCGAAACACGCCCCACAGCCTAATCGAGCTGTCAGCCTTCAACCCTGAATAACCCCTAGCCACGCATCTGGACAACGCCAAACAAGCTTAAACAATTCTGCACGGAAAACAGTCCTAAACCTTCAAATCCCGAATGTCCCAAGACAACCCTCAACCCTAACCTGCTACGGAACCGTTCGCCCAATCAACCCAGGCCTGATCGGCACATAGCCCTCAATAAGCACTCTCACGTCACGATTCTTGCGCGCAAAACCCAAATCTGCGCCTTAACCAGTCTTAAGCAACACAAGCGAGCTGCAAGCCCTCCAAATCTTGAAGTTGGCTAGTTCAGGCGTGTCCCTAATCATCTGCCAAAGCGGTCAAAAGGGTTGGGAAGAAGCAGATGCTGAAGGGAGACAATTGTGCGATAAGTTGCGCAAAGTGGTGTGACGCAAGCATGGGGTCGGCTTTGACAAATTGCATGGAAAGTGCTTGCTCATACAACAGGACGGAGATCACGTGGCATTGTTCCCATCTGTCTTAGAGACTAAAACGCATGCCTGCAGAACAGCTGAAAGGGCGACCAGATCTCAGCACTGAAGAAAGGCATAATGCAGAAGCTTAGATTGGCTGTCATATTTGGCTTCTTGACGATAGCATAACTTTAATGGAATGTGCCTGAAGCCTTGCTTCAAACATTCCGCTTCCAGTCCTTGATGTAGGTCAACAGAATTGTCAAGGTTAGAAAGGGTTTAACAGCATAATATGCTATAACAATGATTTCGTTGACATCGCTTCAGTTTCATACCGCTGAGCTGATCCTGAGGCTAGAGCGAGGATTTGCAAAGATCCTTTCCTCGCGCTCGGTGACGATATTCGCACTGCATGTTGATGAGCTGTGGACAAAGCAAGAGCTCAAGAAAGTTGTGAAGATCTTGGACACTCACGAGTACTTCTCTATGCTGGCGCTAGTTTGTCAGCATCTCGGTTGTCCTATTGCTATTCTTCACGCAGCATCATGAATGCGTTGAGGCTTGATGATCAACTTAGTGGTTCCTTTTGTTGACAGCGCTGAAGTTGAGGCGAAAACAGCAGCCAGTTCGGAAGCTTCTTGTATCAGGGCCCTAGCGGTCACGTGGGACCTACCACATACTTGCCCTTGAGCTCGATGGATGTTGATCTGACATTGGACTGGGATGACATGCCGCTTCCGCAACACTTGCTGGCCTTTGACCTGCAACAGCCTGATGTTTTCAAAACTGTTCAGTTGGGTGATGTGCAATGCGACGCAGACGCGGACTCTGACACATGCCAAGAAGGTGACGCGCAATGCAAGGGCGATGTGTTAGTCGGACCTCCAGAACGCCCGCAACTTGCTCGCGTGACGAAAGCATCTTCAAGGTCCATTACCCTGGAATGGCGGCCGCATCCTGAGGGTCCAGCCCCTGACAGCTACTTGCTACGGATTGAACCAGGTGCCTTGGAAGATATTTTGGACCATGACACGTTCGATGCTCTGACAAACGTCCAGACACACACTGTCAACGGGCTGCGGCCAAACGTTGAGTACACCATCTCCTTGAGGGCCATGGGCTTCGGAGGCGAAAGTGGCAAAGTCACACTTACTCATCGCACCGAGCAGGAGGATACATTGGTAGTAGACAGTCAGTATGAGATACTGGAGTCAACGCACTGCGGTATGGGTGCTGCAGAAGAGGTGCAGCCAGCCGGCCCAGCGCCTCAAGGTGCATCCTACTTCCCCGGAGTCAGTGATGTTGATGGATGCAGAGCACGTTGTGAGAGCAATAGGCAGTGTGTAGCTTTTCAGGTTAATTCAGGGAATGCTTGCTGGCTTTACAGGCGTAAGCCTTCTGACCAGCGCCTTGCCAGTCGTCAATCTGACGAGGGCTGGTGGTGCGCCATTCGGAGAGATTGATTCATGGTTCTCATTCCTTAAAACATCGAACAGCTGCTCAGCGACGGTAGGCTAGGGAGTCTTTGTGAAAGTTCCATTCTGCAGGTTTTGCAGGCGAAGTGGCTTGCAGGCGACGCTGCTGGGCTCGTGCGAGCACTGGAGGACAAGCTTCGCAGGGAGTTGGCGGTTGGTAACATTTTCTGAGGCACCGGACTGTCAGGCGTGTGATGACGACTCTCTGGCGGCAGCTTGCTTGAACCGATTTGTACAGTCATCCCGGCCTCATTTGGCAGACTGTGGGCGAGTGCTCTGGCTTCAACGTCTCAGCCAGGCATCCAAGTCCGCTAGCTGCTGGGTCGTTGGCCAGGCAAGCACTGGCTTCAAATTCTTTCCTGTGACAGGTTATCTGGGAAGGGTAGTATCTGCAGTAGCTTTGATCCTGAGTTATCCTTGGGGAGTGTTTATGGACCTGGTCTGAAGCAGCCCCATCGCAATGTATTCTTCAGGCTGCTGCCGCTTGTGCAGAAACTTGCGCAAGCAGACAGAGAGGACTTGCTGCCACACACAGGATGCAGTGTAAATGCTTTCTTGTCTTGTGAGGAGCATGCTGTGGCAGCTGTGCGCTTTGCGCTCCATAGCCTCAGGGTTCCTCGCTTGGGGTTAAGGTCTTTTCATGTTGGCCCAGCTGCAGGATGTTTTCCTGCGGAAAGTCCAGGTCTCCTGGCCTGTCATCGCTAAGATGCTCAGAAATGTGTCGACTCCGCGAGCTCAGCCCTGAGACGTCAAATAACGCAGAGACTTCTTTGCCTCCTTGGAGTTAAGGCCGCTTTGGAGTCCTGTGAGGAGGCAGTTGTTCGGCTGCAATCATTGTGCGCACCCCAAGAAGCGCCCTTGAACAGCACAGATCTTCATGCTGCCAACAGAGGTACTCCACCGTCAAGGCACTCTCGCGTTCAGTCAAAGTGTCCAAAACCAATGGACCCTTGGTTCGTACCTTAATTACAGCTGTTGCAAGAAGATGCTACACCGAGCCACGCTGTGCCCCTGCGCCTTGCAGGTTCCACTCTGCAAGAAGCTCAAAGTAAGCCTAGAGGAGGAGCGGGCTGTTCTGATTGGTCAAGGTTTGCCATGATATCCTGGCAGAGGCTTTGGCTGGTGCCGGACGCCTTCGAAGTTAATGAGTCGATTTATGATTTAGATGAGAAAGATATGGGCGTTCCAACATGGGGGCCCAAACATCTAGACGCCGCAGCGCAGCGAGAAAAGATGCTTGTTCAGGGGCTTGTGAGCCGGAGAGCACGCTTGTTGCTTAAGATCTTCGAGCCCTAAGCCTGTTTGGCGAAGCTTTGCTACCACTATGGTTTGGCTCAGATTGCATACCCTTGAACTGGCGCGAGGCGCGTGGGATTGCTGGAGTGCATCTTTGTTCTGCTTCCAGTGCAGCCTTCGTGCTACATCGAGGCGGTCCTGCAACCCGCAGGCCGGCAAGTTGCGCCTTTCCACGTTGTGATGCTTGTAACTGCCTAGTTCAGCTTTGCACAAGAGGCTGAAAGTTCTCAGCCCTGCACACAAGCTCTGTCCTGGTGCATGCACGGAGCACATGCACGCGATGCGAAGCCGTTTGGGCTCCCAAACCGGCCTTGTCACCCATGTGCGGGTGGCGAACAGACACTTGGACGGCAAAGATCTGTCTCCACAGGCGTCCGTGAGAGTGCTGATGCACGGAGGGGTTCGACTCTTCGAGAGGCACTGAGCTGCCAAGGTTCCTTATCAGGAAGTCCATTTGCCAAACCTTTTTCTCGTTTGCGCCGTGACTGCATCTTCAGACCATGCGCTGGCGGTGAACTATGCCACCCTACAAGTCCTGAGGTGCCATACCACGGCACCAAGACACACCACAAAGATAGCCTGACGGCGGAGCACTGTGACCTACCTGCATCCAGGGGTGGTGTGAGCGTTTTGTGATCACGCCTTGCAAGGACGGGATCCCGAACAGGAGAGGGAGGATGCTTCTCCAAGCGTCCTATGCGTCCCTTCACGTTCTTTTCCTTCTTTTCTCTGCTTGGCAACAAGCGAGGCCCATGGTCGCAGCGTGTCACACAGCAAAGCAAGCGGCAAAACTTTGAGAGCTCGCCTTTTGCTTTTGCAGGGTATGCTCCGGCGAACAGCATGGTGGACGCAGTGAGCACCGCGATAGCCCACTGCTGAGCGCTTCCACGGTGACACTTGGCGAGGCTTGTCGCATTGACCTTTAGGAATCAAAGTTCATCGACCGGCAGAAGAACGAATGCTTGGGCTCTCTGCGCCCTGCCTTGTACTTGTACTGGGTGGGAACAGCCTTGAGACTCTGAGACAGGGTCGCTGCCGAGGTTTTAGTAACCTTGCAGCCTTGCACTTTCATGGGATGCAGTATTTCCACTTTTCCACTTACCTTTGTCCTGTTCCGTATCGTCCCATAGTATCCGAAATCGAGAGTTACACACATATGCACTGGGTTGGCAGGGGAAACTCTGACAGTTTGGTACTTGATCGCTGAAAATCATGGTACCACCCGCTTAGGGGAGTCGTGACATTCGCATGCATCATTGTAATCCTCATGGAAAGGGAAACGCGAAAAATCAGACAAAAGACAGCTTCTGTACGCAGCAAGGCATGCCCCATGCAGCATCCGACCAAACAGCTACAGATGTGACCCCATCACGCTATCCAGGATTTTCATGGCTGGAAGTGCAAGATGGCTCTTCCGTGCATATCCTCGATCCACAATCACCCAAAGGTGCTGTGTGACTACGGCATGCAAACGGTTTTCTACAAGGCTTTTTGTCAAACTCAGAGTCTCAATCAAAGGGTTCTGATTTCGAAAGTGGTCCAACATTCACGGGCCCATAGGGTCAAACAGTTGCTGTCGCCAGTCATCAGCACTGGGCCAGCGATGATGTCTAAAACCCTGAGATGGTCAATGAATTTGCTGAGCCTCGTGGTTTTCACTATAGCGAAAACCGCGATTAATGAAGCCTCGGAAGCCCACAATTTAGGATGGCAGAAGAAAACGTGCCCAGATACTGCCGTGCATGAGTGGTCTGAAGAAATCGTCAAGAATCGGAATCCGAACACTTCAAGACAATCCGGACGGTGAAGAGGCCAGTTATGTGACCGTATGCGCTCGGAACACGAACGTTATTATGATTTTGGCATGGGTGCTCTGGTGACCGTGTGCT